TCTAGAAAGAATGTTGTTATGGCTACTTAGCATCTAACTCCTTACAATCCCCTCCTCCCATTTTCCCACCATAGAAAAGGCATAGTACGCCCTAGGCTTTCTAGAAAGAATGTTGTTATGGCTACATAGCATCTAACTCCTTACAATCCCCTCCTCCCATTTTCCCACCATAGAAAAGGCATAGTACGACCTTGGCTTTCTAGAAAGAATGTTGTTATGGCTACTTAGCATCTAACTCCTTACAATCCCCTCCTCCCATTTTCCCACCATAGAAAAAGCATAGTACGACCTTGGCTTTCTAGAAAGAATGTTGTTATGGCTACTTAGCATCTAACTCCTTACAATCCCCTCCTTCCCATTTTCCCACCATAGAAAAGGCATAGTAGAATAATAGAAAGCGTGGCGGGCCAAAGAGCCAAGAGAAAAGAGGGCTGCGGCCCTGGCACACCGTTAGGCAGAGGGAGGCAGCTGCCAGCAATATCTGATGCGTAGATCCGGTGGCATAACCCTGGCCTTAACCCTCAGAAGGAAGGTCCGGCTTTCTTCTGTTTTGTGCCAGTTGGGGCAAGGGGTGTCATCAGAACACCTCCTTCTCCCCCCGTGCGTGCAATTTGAACCGAACTAGAAGGCAAAAAGAGTTGTTAAAACCGGCAATATATTCCTTCGGAGACACTCAAAACAGCTTTCTTGCAGCTTTCGAATAGGCGATAAATGTACCGTCCCTATTACATCTAAAAACTCCTCACCATTTTATTGCTTCCTTTTCTACACCGTGTTCAAGTTTAAGAACTGAAAGGAAGAAAAAATCCCACGAAAGGGTTCTTTATGGCCAACTGAACATCTGTAATGAAGTTTAGTGTCCTCTGGTGTGAAAACATTTGATACTATTCTTTAATCTTGGAGGGGAAGCTTGCAGAAGTCGGAGGCAAGGATACCAGCATTGCCCCGGTGTATTGTTCTGTTTCTACAGCTATCTCCCCCCCCCAACTTCCAGCAATCCAGGACCCCCCCAAGAAAAGCCTCATTTACAGTGTCATTGATCAAGAGAGATTGCTCTGCAGTTGAGCTGCTGTGGCCAGGCTCATACGGGATTTATATGCGGAAATACGGGATTTTTTTAAAAAAATATTTTAATTATTGTATTTCTGTGTCGTTTAGAGAACGAATGTTATGGGGCACCTGCTAAGCAGAGTAAGTATTTACTAATTTACTATACAATACAATAGCAGAGTTGGAAGGGACCTTAGAGGTCTTCTAGTCCAATCCTATACCGTTCCAGACAAATTGTGATCCAAAATCTTCTTAAAGACTTCCAGTGTTGGGGCATTCACAACTTCTGGATGCAAGTTGTTCCATTGATTAATTGTTCTCACTGTCAGGAAATTTCTCCTCAGTTCTAAGTTGCTTCTCTCCTTAATTAGTTTCCACCCATTGCTTCTTGTTCTGCCCTCAGGTGCTTTGGAGAATAGCTTGACTCCCTCTTCTTTGTGGCAACTCCTGAGATATTGGAAGGCTGCTATCATGTCTCCCCTGGTCCTTCTTTTCATTAAACTAGACATCCCCAGTTCCTGCAACCGTTCTTCATATGTTTTAGTCTCCAGTCCCCTACTGGCTTCGTTTACGTCCCAAAGAATCCTCTCTTCTGAATTCTACTCGGTTTGGGGAAACGTTGCTAAATGTTTTTAAAACACTGTGTTTCCCCGAAAATAAGACAGGGCCTTATTTTCTTTTGACCCCTGAAATAAGCGCTTGCAAAGGTGGGTTGCTCCTGGTTTGGCCCAGTTCAGCCGAACCGGTAGTGGCATTCAGGCCTGGGTTGTAGAACTACTATGCCCCCAAACCAGTTCTCCCACCGCCAATGGGCTGCCGCCATTTTGGTTTTTAGTGACTGCACATGCTCACTGTAAATTGTTCTGCACATGCGTGAAGAACAATTTACATTGAACGGTGCCTGCACACGGGTTGCGAACCGGTAGTAAAACTGGCAGCAAACCCACCCCTGAGCGCTTGGCCTTGTTTTTTTGGGGGGGGGGTGTGTCTTATTATTTTTGAGGTGCAGGAGACGGCGAGCATGATCACCCCATGGCTGCTGCAGTGTTGCGCAGTGCTGGGCCCTGCCATTCTTTTTGTGGTGGTCATTAGCGTGACAAAAAGGGCATGGTGGCTAGGGTTGTGGGAGCAGCTATTATGTAATGGTGTGGGGGGTGCATGGGACATGTTTCCCCCTCCCCCCCTCATCTCCTCACCTCGTGTTTTTGTGCCAAGCAACCAGAGGAAATGGCGGATACCGGCTGCGCATGCATTGAAATGTTTTCAGGGAGGGCTTATTTTGGGGAGAGGGCTTATTTTAGCACATATGCTCAAAAGCCCGATTTGGCTTATTATCCGGGGAGGTCTTATTTTGGGGGAAACCGGGTAGTAGGGAAGAGCTATGAAACCGGAACCAATGTCGTTTCCCAAAAGGTACAACAAGGGCTTTATCCGCGGGCTTCACTTAAGGACAGGACAAAAGAGGGGAGGAAGGAATGGAGAGGATTTTCTTAATTGATTCCCGGTCCAAAGTAAATCAATAGTTCTGATCCTATATGTTAATCGAAGCCCAATGAATGGCTAAACGCCAGTGTTGAATTTCCTCAAGTCCGTTCTACCCGCTGGGGAATGAACCAGAATCAATCTTCTATGTTCATAAAATTACATTCTGGATGGAAAGGTCTTCTTACTCTTATTGGATATTCTACATCCTTGACATGGAGTCTTTATTGAGTAGCCCTTGAGCCCCGTCGAGGTGCAAAGTTCCAGAGACAAATGATTACTAATATTTGATAAAAGCAACTTAAAGTGAAATTTGATAAAATACAATTTAAAATGGAATTGGAATAAAACACACATGGAATTGGGATAAAATATGATTTCAGATGGAATTGGAATAGAACGCAGTCTAAAGTGAAATGGGAATAGAATGCAATAATTTAGGATAGAGATAAAATATGATAAAATCATATTTCGGTGTCACCCCTACAATCTACCCCAGGATACTCTGCAGAAGATTGACTGAAGGATGTTTTAATGCAGCCTGTCCTTCCCCTCCCCCCCAATCCTAAATATGTCAATCAGAGTCATCAGTGAGGAAGGCCGACATGATTCCTATAGGTAGAACTTTACAATATGCCCTTAGCCACAGTAGAATAAGTGCAATCTCCAATCTACAAAACAGATCCTTTCAGCAGTTCCAAGAAGGCTCCACATCTATTTGCACCACTCAGGTAACCCTGAGGACAGGGAAAAACTTCCAAGTGGCCTCAACGACCCTCTAAAAAGGAATGCAAATGACCAGCTCATTGTCTGCAAGGAGTATCAATCCGCAGGGTTCGGTCCTGTCCCCCCTTCTTTTTAATATCTACATGAAACCGCTGGGCGAGATCATCCGACGGCACGGGAT